GCCCTCCCTCTTCCAAATGTCCATACAGAAGACAGACTCTTCCTCTCCCCACCGGAAGTTCTTGTTTCCGTGGCTCTGCACACTGCTATGTCCTACCCGATGCATCAGGACTTCCGTCCTTTCCCAGCGAGCCACATCATGAGCAGTCACCCTTGTCTGATTCCAGTCCAGTCAGTGCAGCTGGGGTCCCACGGCCGGGAGGATCCCGGTCCATCAGATGGAGATCAATGCAAGGAGCCCAGAATGTGGGAGAGGCACTGGGTCTGGGAGTGGGAACTAGACAATAAGAATGTGAAAGATCCCCACCTTCCTGGGTCTGTGGCTCCCCAGAGAGGTGGGTTCCCTGGTAGGTGCTACTGAGACAGGTGCTGGGGGTTGAGGAAGGGACAGCTCACAACAGTGAAGGGATAAAGCACAGCACTGGACCAGCAGGCCCGGCATCTGGGGAGGAGAGGGAGCGGGGAGCTAACAGCTTCTACTGTGATTTAAGGCCCCAGGGCGGGGGGCAGAGAGCCGCGGCAGGACCACACACCGCCTCACGAGCAGCCCAACAGGGCTGCAGAATCAAGGGCCAACGTGGCAGCTTCCGCAGCTGCACATGTGGGAAGAAACCCTGAAACTGAGCTAGTCCTTCCCCCACGCTCCTGTGCCCTCCACCACCCCAGCCCTCCGGGCCTCCGTGGCTCTTCCCTGAAAGCTGATGGTCCCCAGCAGTGGGTCTGCAGGTCCTGTTGCCACTCTTCCTGCCTGCATCGGCACCCGCAGCCCCTGCACCTCGGACAGGACTGGCTCAGCTGCCCTTCCCCAGGAGGGCTGGCATCACGGTCCACGGCGGCCAGGCTCCAGTGCCTACCTTCCCCTCCACATCCTGTCCCGGGTCTGCTGCCAGCACCTTCTCTGGCACACCTCACCTTGTCTGGGTCAAGCACCGCCCTGCCCGAGGCTCAACCCAGCCTCTTCTTCAAAGCCCACACGCAGGGCACCGGGGCTTCCTGTCTTTGCTCCTCCTCTGCCTCAGCCTGCCCTCGTGTCTCAGCCAGGATGAGGCAAGATCACAGGGAGACCACGGGGCTTGAAGCAGGGGGTCCCTATACAGTACCAGCACCCTGGACTGGGTATCTCCACTGCTTGGGTGCTCACTTCCTCTCGAGGCAACTCTTTCCATTGTGGTACAATCTGGTCACGGGAAAGTCCTTCCCTATATTAAGGGCAAAGCTGCTTTGCAGCAACGCATACCCTTGGCCCTGTGCTGACCTCTGGCCACAGTGGTTTTGTCTAATTCATCTTCCACAGCTTACCGTAGGCACTCAGACTGTAGAGCCGGGCGATCAGGGTGCAAGGCCTACCTCTGCCATTAACACTGCTAAGTGGCTCTGGACAAATTTCTTTTCCTCTCTCGGCCTCCATTTCCTTATCTATAACGTGGAGATGATAACAGAAGCTACTTTCTAAGAATTATATCAAGACAAGACGGGTTAGTAAATACAAAGCTCTTAAAATAGCACCTGATATAGTAAGTGTTCAATAAATTACATTATATGAAACGAGCTGCCTTTCATCCTGCATTATTCTATTTCCCGTGGGTTAACATCCTTTTAAACATGCCCTTCACATGACACAGTCCTGCCTCCTTCCACCCCTGGTTTATCCTGCCTTTTACTTTACCACATTACCTCCGCTGTACAGAGAGTCACTGTCACTCAGGACCAGACGCTGATCACCTGAGGCAATGACTGGTTAACGTGGCTTCCGCTGCACCACACAGCTGGCTCGTGGTGGCCCTGTGGTCAGCTCAGGTCCCAGGACCTCTCTCACGTGACCCTCGTAGGGCGTGGAGCCACTGGGGCTCCAGCCTCCTTCTTCCTGTCCAGGTTTTCTGGGGCCTCTGAGTACTCGGGACCTTCCTGGCATGCACTGTGCATCTTCTCCATGTATCACGGAGGTCTCAGATGTCCTTGTCTCTCACCCTCACTTATCATTCTGTCTCCTCCAGGTGTTAACAGAGCCCAGGAACCTTCCCCTGCCAAGGGGACCGACTCTAGTTGCTGGCTTTCTTGTGTCTTTCAGCCCTGTGCTGAGTCTTTGTCTTCTTGCTCCCAGCCCTGGTCCACCTTGGCTCTGAACTCAGCCTCTAGAGCACGGCACATCTTGGCTTTGAGGCCTGATCCTCACTCGGCCTATTCTTTCCACCTGCTTTTGGCTGAGAGGGAAATGGCCTGGTCTACGCGTGCTGTGTCTCACAGACAGCAGGGTTTGAGCAAGGACCGGTGCAGCCCCCCCTCCCCAGCACGTGGTGGCCATGACCCTCCTCAGAGTCTCGGCTTCCTCTGACCTTCTCCGTGCGGCGACATCCTGCTCCTACGGGCTCCCTGGACCAGGGCTGCGCCGTCTGACAGACGCCTGGCCAGCAGGGAAGAAGCGAGCTGCTCTGACACACCCAGCTTCCCTCCCCTCTCAAAACTCTCAGCTATTTTTTTTTTTTTTTCTTTATTTTCCTTCCTGTGTTGAAAGAGCTACAGGGCCTGGACATGGTGAGGGTTTCCTGGGGACATTCCATAAATTCCTTGTAGGCTGCTTCCCTAGAGAGGCTGGGTGAGCAGGACGCAGCAGGGGCCTGCATGCGAGTATCAGGTAGCTCAGAGTGCTGTGGGTGGGAAGGAAGGGTGAGCTGCGTGGTGGAGGAAGGTGGCTCCTATGAGGTCACAGGACTAGCAAGAAAGGGCAGACGGCTTGCAGGTCTCAGCAAGCTGTGGGCAGCCGCGCCCTCAGCCTTGCCCCTGAACCCCCTGACTCGCCTTGCTGGTCGGCCACGGCGCCTGCAGGGCACAGAGAATTTGGCCAGCTTGCGTGGGGTGTGCGGCTTGGAAAGGTGCCCAGCAGCCCCCTGTATTTGTGCAAGAGGCACAGGGGCATGCAGAGGAGAGCACTGCACCCCGGATGTCTGGCCGGTCACCCTTTCCTTCCGTGTCCCACTCCGTCCTTTCAGCAAACACCAGTTCCTTCATTCGGGCCCAGGGCATCAGCCCCTGGCTGAACTCTGATGAGCCTGGGCCTGAGGATCCACCTCACCCTCTGTCTCCAGGTTCCAAAGCTGCTTCCTTAGGTCAAAAGGTGCCAAGTTTGGGACCACGACAAGAAGCAACTTGTCCCAGGTCTCTATGCTTGGACAAGACACTTTTCTTCTGCAGGCCTCAGTTTACTTGATGAATACTGAGAACAGTGGGCCAGATGGTCGCTAAGGTTTCTTAGAGAGTGGTTCTACTTCCCCAAGCAGCCGGAGGCTATCCCACGTCTGAACACCAGGGGAGGGCAATAGGAGGAGGGAGGGAGTGAGAATGAATGAAGAAGGAGCTTCCTTTAATAGAATCTCCAAGTGAATCAAGGAGACAGAGTCACAGGAATGATCTCCAGTTTCCCTCCAGAGGGGAGGGAAAAGGTCAGGGGAGGCACCACACACCAGCCTATTCGTGGCTTCTGCTGTCCCTTAGCAGGGTTTTGAGCAACTCAGAAAGACGCGGTCCCCTTGTGCCTACGAAGCAGTAAGAGAAGCCCCACAGGCAAGAGGTGTGAACCACGGGGTACATGGTGGGACAAGGGCAGCACATTGGGCTCAGGCCGGAGGCCCGTGTGCCGGGCAGTAGCAGCTACCTAGGTGTTTGGTGCTGAGACCCATAGTGTGCTCCAGCCGACTTCGTTCACGTCACCAAGGACTTCCGACAGGAAGTAGCTGGTCTCAGGGAGCGAGCGGAACTGGGTCTGGCATAGCATGCCACTTTTCAATTTTAGTGGATGCTCTGCAAACACTGCTTCCTTCTCTCATGTTGGGAAAGCAAATGGAAGAACCACACTCACCCTCTCTTCTATGTGCTGAAAAGCCAAGCCAGGGCCCTCAGCCCCAGGCAGAGGGGAGGCCACAGGACAGGGGCAAGTAGCAGCCTTTCCTGAGAGCGAGGAAACGGCCAAAGGGCTTTGGAATCCTGAGAAGCTAAGAGATCTGATGGTTCGGTGCCTCCTCCTAGCCCTGGACCAGTTCCCTAGTTCCCTAGGGCTCCTCGGCGGACTCAGAACAATAGTGCGGAAAGTCTTCGTCAGGCCCCTCCCAGCTATGCCTCTTCCACATTCCCTGACAGGGAGCCCTCAAGGCTCTGTGTGGGTCAGGAGAAGGAGTGAAGGAGCGGCGGGTGACACTGGCATGCAGGGGGAGACGCGGCGAGCTGGTGGCTGTTCCTTGATCCACAGGTTTGGGATACAGAGAAGTGGCGGGAGGGTACGCTTGGGAAAGGGGATTAGCTGGGACCGGAAAGAATGCAGCTGCCGTAATCCCACATAAGGAGCCAGGCTGTCCTCCCACTCCACACCCTAAGCCCCAGACAAGCAGGTACAAGCTGCCGGGCTCAGCCCGGGCACCGCAGGCTCCTGTGCTGCTGGCCCCACATGGCCCGCTCCCTCTCACTGGCGGAGGTGGCTGGGAGGCCTAGGACAAGATGCCTGCTTCCTCCTGACCTGTGCTTTGGGTACTGAGGTGGGACGAAGAGCTGAGGATGCAGGACGGACAGTCAGGGAGTGGCCTCTCCCAGCATTAGCAGCAGCTGCCTAGGTGCTCAGAGCTGGGACCCCGAATCTGCTTCAAGCAACTCTCTTCAATTCACCAAGGACTTCTGACCCACACAGTCAGCTCTGCACGTCCCAGGGAGGGAGCTAAAATGCGAGTGCTCATAGTCAAGTAATAAAAAATAAGTTCCACTTGATTTGAGAGTGAAGAGTGATTTCTTCCCCTTTAGGCAGGGTATCTAGAAATCCCTTCAGGTTTGGCAGGATTGAAATGTTTGCATTCTCCAGACACCCACTGCCCGAGGGCTGCAGGAACCAGTGCGGAGAATAGCCAGAGTTCCCCTTTGCCCCCTCTCCATTCCCAGGAAAGGCGCTGGCCCGACAGCCCCTTCCACAGGGGATGCTGGGCAGACGGCCCATGGCGGCGCACAGCGAGGCTGGAGTCTTACCTTCCTCAGCTTGCCGCTCTTCGTGCCCACGAACACCACGCTGCAGCCATTGTAGACGTAGGAAGCCACAGAAGTCATGCGGTCGCGGCTGGTGGTGTACAAGGTCAGGCCCTCCACGGGGGTGGAGCCGCCCAGGGGCTGGTTGATGTCCAGTCCACAGAAGCTGTCATCGATGGGGACGGGCTGCAGTGGGAAGGGGCCAGTGTGAGTGACGTGCAGGTGGTGGCATCTGTCGCCTCGGACCACCCCACCCACTAGCTAGTCTGAGCACGTCAGGCCTTGGAGAGGCGCAGGTATGAGGTTAGGGGACCGGCATGCTCTACAAACCAAACGTCTCACCAGGGGACCACGGATGGCATCCTGACTCCTTCGGATCTGGAGGGGAAATGGAGCAGCCACCCCCACCCAGCTGGGGTCCCCGGTGCCCACCCTCCTGCCAGGAGAACCAGTCTGTAAAGCTGAGTGCTTGAGCTCATTTCCTGGTTCGCTTAGCATCCCTGAGGACCATGTCAGTCTGTGAGTGTCTTTCTAACACCTCCTCGGTGGATAGTCAGCCTAGAGGCAACATCACAAAACTTCCACCAGCCTGGAGAGGGTTTCTCCTTCCTCTCTTGGATAGGCTGTTGTTTCCTGGGCTGCCAGGTCCTCACCGGGGCACAAGGAATTCTAAGACACTCAACAGTCATATGATCTGCTGCTGTGGGAGTACACTAACGGGGCCTCCCAGGCCCCCAGGTGACAAGTGCCACACGGGCTCCTGTGGCTGGGCTGCAGACCCTGGGCCAGAAAGAGCCCCGAGTCCCGGGAAGCCTCTCTCCTGGGTCTGGGAGGTGTCCCAGCGGTGGAAGGAAACGGCTGTGGTGAGAAGCACAGGAATCGGCACGGAGATGCGGCTCCCTGCTCCCCTGCACCTCCGTTTCTCACCCTCACCGGGAAGAGCAGGCTGACACATCACCGGTGTCAGCATCATTTCCTTGGAATAATCGGTTTATAAGCTACAGCATGTGATTTGTTTTAAAGCCAGGGACGTCCCTTCCATTTCCTTCTCAGTTCCAAAGGGAACAGGGACTCAGTTCTTACGGTTCCTCAGGGTTTTGCTGAGAACTGCTGCTCCTGCTCCGGCAGCCATGATGCGCTGGTGTGGATCTGTTCTTTAGGGAAGGACACCAAGTTCTAGGCTGAGAATTCTGGGAACCCTGGTCCTGGGCAGCCCCACACACCAGAAGGAACGAGCTTCTCAGGGAGGGAGGAAGCAGCTGCATGCTGGTGGCAGCTCAGGAGAGAGCACTGAGTGACATCAGCCAGCGTAGCGGTGCCATGGCCGAGGCATTTACACCATGGGAAACAGCAGTGCCACCAGCTGGGGCTCCTCCTCCTCCCTCAGGCTGCATGCAGCCTCTGACTGACTCTTCACCAGCACATCAGTGGGCCAGGAAGGAGACTTAGCTCCCTAGAGAGGCAGATCTGAGCCGTCAACCCTGGCCTTTACACTTTCTACTTCTCCCCCTCATCCCTGCACCTCAGGCAGCAGCTGCCCCGTAAGAGTGGATGATCCACATTAGCCCCGCTGGGTGACCTTGGAAATGTCACATACCCTCCTGAGCCTCAGTTTTCTCCAGTTACCTGGACGAGGTAATTATCAACCTTCCTTTCAGCTCTAAGGCATTGATTTCATGGCTTCAGTTTTTTCCTACTTTCTCCAGGGGTGATAAAACCACAGTCTATGCACGGTTGTAACCCAAGCCAGCTTTTCAGAAATGGTGACAGAAGCAAAAATCTTGCTGGTAATTGTGGATTTCTCTGCATTCTCAAGACTGCAAGGGAACCTCGTGCTCTAAGGCCAAGCCCCTGGGACTGGCTGTCGTTTCTTTCTCTCCACAATTTCTTTCTCAACATGCCCACAGATGTCCCCCTACCTGCTACCCCTCTACTTTTGCTCGAGTAGCAAGAACTTGAAGTCCGACTTTCACGGAGGCAGAGTGGCTCCCAGCGTGACTGGACTCAAGTCACACGGACTGGACGGAGTGCAACTTTCTGCCTTACTGTTCCTACATGTCTCATTCCAAACAATTTACTGAGTCTTTGGAGCCTTGTGTTACCAGCTGCAAAGTGGGGTGACCACTTGTAGTCTATGGGCCCCTGTGAAGATCAGGTGGGACAGCATTTAAAGTGCTTGGCCCGGCCTTGGTTCATGGATGACTCAGAGAGGCATGGGCTTTACCTCTATCTTTATCCCTTTTCTGGACACAAAGCTCGGATCCTTCACCTGAGTTTCCATGCTAGTTCAGAGGATATGTTCAAGTCAAGCCCTGGGGCCACAGAATTTCGCCCTGACCCTTATGCCCTGCAAGGCCCCTGAGGCGTCTCCATCCTGTTCCAGAGCCTGTGGGTGCTCGACTGCTTTCTCTGTGCCCCTGCTGTCCAGGCTGCACCCCAGGGCTGCAGGGCTGCAGAGTGAGGAGCTAGCCACTCCCTCCTAGGTCCGGGCAGCCTAGAGGTCACCTCTCCCCCAGTGCCTCCGCTGTCCTTTGGTCACAAGCCCAGGCTTGTCCTGCAGGCCTCTCCGCTCTGGCCCTGCAGCAGGCAGGAATCAGCAGTTTCCTCCTGACAAGGGCCTCTGGGCAATGGGAGCTGAGCTGGAGTCTGGTGGGCTTAACCCCCTCCTTCCCTCCAGCTGCTTAGGGTCTCTGTCATAAACCATAAGTGCCAAAAAGAAACTTGGAGGGTACCTGGGCCAGCTTCCTCATTTTATAACAATCGGACAACTAAGCAAATAGCTGGCTTTCTGCTACGATGACTAGCAGTAGTAATTATCATTGCTCATTTGTTGAACACTTATTATACACTAGGTGCTGTGCTAAGCACTTTACATACATGTTCTCTTTGATCCTCACAATAACTACGGAAAGAGGGTAACATTATTTCTATTTTTTAAATTAAAAAGAATATGGATAGGGCCGGGTACATACGCTACCCAAAGTCACACAGGACATCACTGGGAGAACTGAGTTTTAACGTGATCCGCTGGGCTCCAAAGCCCGTCACCTGAGCCGTCATCCCATTGGGCCAAGCAAGTGAGGACGGGCGCAAGGCATCCTTAGGCCTGACCTGCGTCCTTCCTGAAGCCAGCCGAGATCCAGCATCAGCAGCCTCCACTTGGAGGCACACAAGGAGGACATTTGTGCCTCAGGCTCAGATTTTCCCCAGGCTGTGGACCCAGAGCCCACAGCCCTCTACACAGAAACCTGTCTTTACCCTAACGTCAGTGAACTAACACGCCAGGCATGGTGCTAATCTCCCATGCGCCTTCTCATCTGCTCAGCCCGTGACGTGTGTGTTACGATTCCTGTTTCAAGACGAACATGGAGAGACTCAGCCACTTCAGAAGCAGGAAGTAGCGCAGATCGAATCTGGGCCCAAGTCCTGGTTGCAGAAGCCTAAACTCATGACCGCTGCCTTTTAAAAAAAAATGTTTTCTCTTTGCCACTAGATTCCGTGGCCTGAGAGAGCAGCAGTCATAGTTGTTTTATGTTTCATCCCCGTGCCTAGTACAGAGCTAGGCACTCAGATGGTCTCAAGGCCTCCTGTTAAATGCAGGGATGGAAGGTGGACAACGGAGGAGTGATGTGAGTGGAGGGATGGAGAGGAGAAAGGGAGAGGAGGAGGAAGAAGGAGGGATGGAGGGATGGAGGGAGAAGGAGAGAAGAAGAGAGTCATGGCTACACGGATGGACAGATAGATGGAAGAATGAAGACACAGGGAGGAAGGAGGAGGAGCAGACTGATGCGTAGAGGGGAAGGAGGAGGCAGACGGGAGGAGGCGGGGACCACAGGGAGCACTTTAATGGCAGTGTCCCGTGCCTGAGACAGGGGCTGGCGCTGATTTTCTTGCCCTGGTGTCCTTAGGTTCAATCCCAAGGACAGCCTCCCCCTCCCCACCCTTTGCCAGACTCTAGGTCCTTCTCCTGCTTTCAAGCTGTCCAGCAACCTTCACTTCCTGCCCTCTCCGCTGCCTCAGATACTCAGTGCCTACTCTAGCCCCTCGCTGGCCAGCAGGGTGGCCTGCACGTATGGGCTCTGGTCCCACTACCTCTGGCCCGCCCTGTCTTCCGCTTTCTCTCGCATGCTTGCATCAGGCTGCAGTGGCCCCTCACTGTCCCTCAAACCTGCCCGCCCGGGTTCCGCATTCTTTGTTCTTGCTGCTCACTCTCTGGAATGCTTTTCCCAGAGCCCGGCCTGGCCCTTCTCTTCCCTTGCTAGAACACCCCTCTCTCAGTGAGTCCCTCCCTCTCACGTAGGCACACATCACCGTATTGGTGTGTCCTGACTATGTTTCTGCATTCATTCGCCTGGTCTCATAGCAGGTAAGATCCACAAGCCGGGAGCTTGGTCCATGCGGGCACATAAGACGTACATTTGGAATGAGCAGTGAATCAACATACATGGCCCAGTGCCTGGGATAGTTGGTTACCACCTCATAAAGAGCCTGAGACCTCTGCATCTAGCCCTCGAGGTGGGGAGCAGGGTGTGCAAAGCCCTTGAGCAGCAGAGCCACAGCTCATGAGCCTGGGGAGCAGGAGAGGAAGTGCCCTTACCGCCTTGGTACACTGGACGTCCTTGCCCAGCAGCCAGTTGAGCTCCAGATTGCCCTCGCCTTGGTAGCAGGACTGCAGGCGCTCTTTGATCTGCAGGTTGACGGTTCGGATGGGGAAGGCACACAGGGCGGAGTCGTCGGGCGGGTGGTGGTACTGCTTCTGTCCTTTGGAGAAGATGGCAAAGAGCACATCGTCCTGGCTGCTGATGTTGAAGGCCTGGGCCAGCGCATCCCCGGGCTTGGCGAGGTACGCGGCCTGCAGCAGGCGGTACTCCACGCCCGCCCGCGTGCAGCCGAAAGGCAAGGACACGTAGGAGTGGAACTTGGGGTCGTCCTTGCAGAGGCGCACGATGCGAGAGGTGTAGAAGAGGTCTCCGGCAGAGCTGACGGACACGCCCTCCGGGGTCTCGGGCTGCACGGTGAGGAAGTAGACGAAGCCCCCGCTGGCGAAGCCATAGATGTAGAAGATGTCGAACTGGGAGACCAGGGCCAGTGTGTCTGAGGGGATCTTGATGAGGGAGGAGACGAAGTCGCTGTGCAGCTCGTAGTCCAGCATGGCCGCGGACTCGGGGTCGCGGGGCAGCTGGCGGCTGGACAGCGTGGGGAAGTAGTCCTGCTTACCGTCCACGGCTGTGCCGATGAAGAGCTTCCCGTCCCGGCCCTCAGAGCGCACGATCACCCCGTACATGGTGCCCGTCTTGTTGACGCTGGACAGGTAGTGCTCCTTCTTGTGGGAGGGCTCCACCAGGGTGAACAGGTCGTCCAGCCGCAGCAGCTTGCAGACGCCCTGGTAGAGGCTGCCGCAGGCCAGGAGGCGGTTCTCGGGGTAGTCGATGAGCAGCAGCTTGTTGACGTTGTTGGTGAGCGTGAGCACCTCCCCGCACGGCTGCACGATGAGCGGGGGGTAGCAGGACCTGTTGTCCTCCTCCGGCCCCGTCTTGTGGGCCACTTGGACAGTCAGGTTGCCCGTCAGCTTGTAGACGCGGTTGATGGCCCCCACATACACAGCCCCCGTCCCTCGGTGCACAGTCAGGTGGTTGAAGGTCCAGTCTCGGTTCTCAGAGTGGAAAGTGCTAAACTGAGGCATGCCGGCCGCCCCGGGCACCAGCAGCACCCACAGCCCCGCGAGCAGGACCCGAGGCCAGCGGTTGGCACGCCAGAGGGGGGCCAGAGGCTGGCAGTGCCCCCGCTCCATCTGGACAGAGCCGAGGCCCAGGGGACGGCCCCCGGGGGCTCCCATGGACGCTGTCTTCCTGGTCAGCCTCACATGGTTCTGGAAAACACAAGGCAGAGTGTCAGGTCCAGAACAAGTTCGGGGGGGGCACCGAGACGCCCGACCCAGGGTCCCCCTGCCGCTCTGGGAATCTCTCCCCTCTGTAGTTTGGGCTTTCTATTTTTACCGAACGTTCTCCCTCTGAGGGCTGCTCAGGGAATCCTTTATCTATTTTGGTCTTCAGCCTTCACGCTGTCAAATACTTCTTTTTTAACTTTACAGAGCATCCCTATTTCTGTCCTCCTAAGACGCCACGTTTATCTCTCGGAGAGGTTAAAAGGCTGCTGGAGTTCACTGGCCAGTCAGTGCTGCTCTGGGGCCGGAGCGTCTTTGCCGGCCCCCGAGGCCCGACAACCTGTGAGGAGGGCTCTCCTGGGCTCTCCCGAGTGGGGCAGTGCAAAGACATCCCTGCGCTCCCAGAGTCCTGGTGCCCAGGGCTGTTTCCTCCTCTCTCCTGGTCGCCATCCACTCTGAGTGAGGAGCAGGGCCTGGAGCACTGGTCCTCTCCCTGTCCCGCCCTCTTCTCCAGAAAGAATCCCTGAAAAGAAAAGGATGCTGTGGCCACTAAGCCTGGACTCCCCGTGTGCCACTCGGGGGCTCACGGAGCCCCTCTGTTGGGGAGGATACCTGCTGTGCCCAGGGACACTTGCTGCCTCTACCTCTTGGCAGCGGGCACCACGGGCAGCCAGAATCCTTGCTCAGGGGCCCGGGTGTCTGAGCCCAGCTTTGGTCCCTGCCACAGGAGTTTGGGCTGGTGACACATGGAGGGGGCAGAGGGTCAGGGTCCCCCAGCCTCTGCCACACCTCCCGCTGCACGAGCATGTGTGAGATGCTCCAAGCCCACACCCACCCCAGCCTGACCGCTTTACTACTGTCTGCACTGCAGGAAGCTGGGACAGCAGGCCAGGGCTCCTGGGGACAGGCTGCAGGGACACCTCAGGCAGCACAGTGGACACTGGGCCGGCTGCCCCTGATTCCAGAGCCAGGGACAGTGGCAGTATGGCAGTGGTAGCAGGAGGAGCAGGCAGTGAGCCGTCCGGCAGGGACATCTTTTCTCCAGCTGGACAGATCACCCGGCACCCTTCTCGGACAAATCCAGACAGAACTGGCACTGGAGGTGGCAGAAATAGGAACACTCGGGCGAGGGAGGAGAATTCGCTCAGAGGCAGCTTAGGGGGGGCCTGTCTGTCCCTCCACTCCCCGGGCTGGCTGGTCTGGGTTACCCTTAGAACAGACGACACTCGCTGGACCTCCCCAAGTTTTGGAAATTCTCCTTCCTGCTCTTCAGCTCTGCATTCTAGGCCTGGCCGCCTTGAAGGTTCCTGGGTGGGTCCCACCTAGCCCCACCACTCTGAGCAGGCCCCGCTGGGGTGTTGTGGGGTGACTCATGAGGCCCCAGGCTTCCTTGGAAAGAGGAAGGCAGCAGCATGAGGCTGACCTCAGCCACTGCACCACAGCCCTTCCGGCCCCGCAAGCACACTGGCAGAGGCTCCAACCTACAGAGCTTTCGGTTTGGAAACCAGAGGTTATTTTTAGCCACGTCCTGAGTCCGGCAGCAGGACGTGAATTCCTCAAGAGGAGCTGCAGAAAGGAAATAACAGAATCCTCAAGTTCTCCAGCTGCACAGGGAACCTGAAGGGGCTGTGCTTTGCCTGCCCCTCTCTCTGGGTTGGTAAGGTCCTCGGGCCCAGGTGAGTTCTGTCCAAGGCAGGAGGCCGACGGTCATCACGCTGTGCTCTTTGAAAGTGCTCTCGGGAGCATGACTGCATGCAGTTGAGCACAGCTTCTCCTGCCTAGTCCACAGCATACCTGCACATTCAGGTTTAGCTTGTGGGTGGCACAAGGAGGTCCTGCTAGCAGAGATAATGCCAAGAGACAGGGCGTGCGGCTCAAAGCCATCTCACTCACCCTGCTGGCTACTGAGACTCCTCCCAAGGCACAGTTTGAAAAAGCAAATGGCTTCTGTGTCAGGCAGATTTTGGGAACAGATTTGGGACCTTGGGCAAGTCAAGTCCTAGCTTCCGCGTGGCAGAATCGATGGGGATAATCGCAGCAGCGAGGTCTCTGGTTGTCATGAGACTAAAAGACAGGCAGGGACTCCCTAGCGTGGCCGCTGGCTCACAGGAGCGCTTCAATCGTGTTGGCTGTGGGGATCATCACTGAAGCCTCTCCAGGAGACAGCACGCCGGACGTCCTGCCAGAATTCCTGACCTCTTTTTGCTTCTAGTTGTCCCCTCCGAGGGAGGGACGTTAGGAGTGAACTTTGACCCCCAGCCCTCCCTGACCTAGTGACAGAGCTGGGTCTGGGAGCATGTAGCAGGGAAAGGACAGATCCAAGGGGAACTTCTCGGTCATACCGCTGCACAGTTCCCAGTACGGCCTCTCCACAGAGATGGAAGAATGGGGAAGCACAGGCTTCAAAGGGATGGACGAGTATGGGAGAACTGGCCTCCTCGCTAGGAGGCATGGGGTCAGAAGGAAGGACGGGGGATGGGGGACTCCGGAGCTCCGCTTCAATCTGTCTGCGTCACTCAGGAATTGTGCTGTGGCTTCAGGCTGTCTAGCATCCTGAGCCCATTTTCTGAATAAAAGATGTTGCAATGAGTCAATCTGTGGGATTTCTCCTCTCAGAGGAAACGATGCCTCTGGCCTGGCTCCTTCGGCTCCGCCAGTGGCTGAGGTCCTCTGTCTACTACTGAGGCGGACTGGGCCAGGCGTTTCCAAGACAGCATTACAGTGGCCTGTTTTCCTCTGCCCCCTAGCAGCACCTGTTCCGGGACAGATGCTCCTGTGAGCAGCCAGGGAGTTCAGCCCACCGGGCACAGGGCCGGCCACCAGGAGCAGCTGCCACTGGCTCTGGACTCTCGAGGAAGCAGGGTCTGCTGCAGCAGGGAGAGGCGTCAGGATGGGGTCTCTGAGGGCCAGTCGAGGCTCCCTGCTCTCCGAGCCAGTGTGGGCAGCACTAAGAAGATGCTCTGAAGCGGCACCCAGGGGGCCAGGCTCGGGCTCTACCTCTGAGCCTCAGTGCCACAGGAAGCAGTGAGGCACCATGGGTAAAGGCGCAGGCTCTGGCCCGATGCCTGGATTCCAACAGAGCTGGAGCTTGTACCATGGGCCAAGGCCCTGGCCATCCTGCAACCCCATCTAACTGCATCAAATGTGCTTCCATTACCATCTGACTCACAGGATCACTGTGATGAAGTCAGTCAGTAACTATACAGTGCTCAGGACAGAGCCAACCCATTTTAAGTGTTTGGGATATGTTAGTTTTGTTACTACCAAGTTATTTGTTGATCTTGACAGATTCTCACCTCCATCTAGCCCATGATCTGTCTCAGAATGAATTTCCATCCTTAGTTTGGAAGACGCTAGTGAGCATATGCTTGTGACACTGCCCACCTCGAACTTCCTCTTAACCCCAATTTTCTGCTAGTGTTAACCTGGGGAGTTTTCTTCTAATAACAATGCCCTCTTCTTGCTGTCTAGTTCATGAAGCCACATGTCACACGCATTATCAAAACCCTCAACTGGCCCGGCCTCTGTTCTCCTACCAATTTCTTCCTTCTTCGGCCCATTCTCAAACAGAGGCAGGCTACTGTGGGACTCTTATCTGCAAGGCCTGGAGAGACATCTTCCCCGCCACGCTCCAGTGTCAAGGAGAGGACATGCTTCCCTCTTTGGGAAGCAAGTGCCACTAAATATTTTATTTAGAGGGCCTGGAGACATCATCTCTGAGAGCAGGGTCCAGGAGGCAGGTGTTGGTTACAGCCAGCGAAGGCATCTGATACCTTCCTGATCAGCTGCTGCAGGCGTCAGTGGCAAAGCAGAGAGGAAAGGACCATCAGGCATTTCCAGTTCAGCTCAGAGGATTCTCTCCTCCTGACAGTGCTTTCTGTTGCCCTTTTCAGGAGGCCAGGGGCACAGGCCTCTCCACTGTCATGCGGCCTCTCGTATTGCAAAAGGAGGTACGTAGAGGGGTTAGAGGTGGACACTTTTGCCAAACGGAGTCAGAGTTCACGTTGGTGGCTCTCACAGGGTTGGACCATCTGTAGCTCATCTCTGCCCCCTACTACTGCCACTGTCCTGGCACCCAGGGTTTCATAGCCAGAGCAGGAAGTGGTGCTGGCACTGCCACGCCTGCTAGGTGAACCACACAGTCTGGACCCCGATAGCCAGATGATAAGGGAAAGGTAAGGACAGCATGGAGTGCTGTGAGCTCAGAGGAGGAGTGGCAGCTGCTCTTGAGATCCACCCAACCTCCTTCTGCTACATCAGAGGGGAGTCCATTGTCTCCCCAGCTCTCCTTTCCAATATTTAGGCCTTGAGAGAAGGACTCGGGTATGCACCCTGAAGGAGCTGAGAAGATCACTCCCGCCCACCACTTTTTTCTTCAGATGAAGAAGCCAAAGTCTCCAGAGAGGAAACAAGTTGACCAAGGTGACTCACAATGCGTCAGGGACAGTTGGAGTCAGGAGCTCTAGGCAAGGCCGAAGGCTCCTGGGAGTCGGCCGTGCTCTGAATTAGTGGCTTCTCCCGCTGGGTAGAAATGAGTCGGCCTAGCCGGGAGGTGGTGCTCAGGGCAGGAGGAAAGAAAGAGGCATCAGGACGGCTCCCACAGTGTTGGGGAGGTGACCTCCTCTGGCTTCCCCTGGCCCAGGCAGGCCCAGGCAAATGTCACGCCCAGGAATATCACCGGCGTTGCATCCTCAGGGCCATGGTGTCCTGTGCCACATCCTTCTGGGTTGCAGATGACCCCATCGACAAGGCAGATTTTGTGTAAGCATGGAGAGCTTCGTCCGACAGCACCAGGACCGAAGTTAGATCTGTGTAGGCATCCTATCCACAGAGGACCTGCAGCGCCCACCCAAGGAGAATGGACTTTTCTCACATTGATCTTTCCTGATGACTGACTTGGAATAAGTCTACCCAGAGCCCCGGGCTTGGCCCAGTGATGTCAGAGCCTCCTTTGGGTTCATGATTTCTGTGAATTAAAGTCCACG